CTTGAATTTTTCCTGTAGCATACCATATTTTTTTCTTCAACATATTTGCTATTATTTTCTATATAAAAGTCCTCAGCTTTAAATATCATAATACAACAATGCAAATGAACTCAGAGTACATTACTATACTCCTAATAGGATGTCTGATTATCATTCATGCATAGTAAAAAAAAAATTTAGGGGCACTTGGGTGGCTCGGTCGGTTGAGCGTTCAACTTCGGCTCAGGTCACGATCTTGCTGTTGGTGAGTTCGAGCTCCGTGCTCAACAGCTCTGTGCTGACAATTCAGAGCCTGGAGCCTGCTTCGGATTCTGTGTCTCCCTCTCTCTCTGACCCCTCCCTACTTGTGCACTCTCTCTTTCTCTCTCACAAATAAACATTAAGAAAATTTAATTTGTACTCTATCATCGTTTATAAAAATACTTAAATAAAAAATATATTTTATTTAAAAAGTACCCAGTTTATGAATGAACTCTGCAGAGTTAGTATGTAAATCATTTGTTTGGAATTATACACTTTTCCTTTGTAATGGTTGGTGCCCACAGTGTCAAGGCAGCCCACAGAAGTCTAGTAAATTCCCTACTGTGGTGCCAATGTTTACATTTGTGATGGAAAAAGTTGAAAATGAATACAAATGTAATGCTAGTAACAGAAAGTATTTAAAATACAAGCGAAAAGAATTGGACACAGGAGCTTTCAAGCCTCCGGGCGAGAGAAAGGTAGTGGGCATTAATGTTAGCTCATAAAGTTCCAATGCCTGGTGCTAGGTGGTGCTATTGAACCATAACAGCTCGGTCATTTGCCAAGTCAAGGGACATTCATTTAAGGACTGTTCCTATCACAGATATTCACATGTTCTCTGCCTTTAATTAATTTGCTTATTTGTTTTGGCTCCTAACACCACTGTGATTTTAGCTCCTAAAGAAATTATGATTAAGAAACATATTGGTGGCTCCCAGTGTGTCTGTTTTTAAGAGCTAAGGAGAAAAAGTATTCCTAAGCACATTAATATGCTTAGGAACATGCTGATTTCTGTCTTTTACTCCCACATTTCGGTGGATGACTATGGCTCAGCTTTTCAACTTCTCTGGGCTGGTTCCAGTTTCGCACTTTGAAAAGGTAAGTAATGAGCAAATATAATCAAGATTAATCAATCAAAAAAAAATCAGATTGTGTAGGTCGAACAAGCGAGTTCGGCTGTTCTTACCCAGTACACTTATCTGGGATCTGGTTCTCCCTAATTCAAACTCAAACCAAGGTTGAGTGGAGTTTACTGAGTTCTCTCTTCAGGGTACTTCCCGGGATATCCATCCGCAAGTATCCATTAGCAAGTGAACATGCTAAAACTCATTGTTATTTTCCTCTTGACTACTTAATAGTATACATTTCGTCTGAGATATGCTAAATGGGTTTCCACAGAATACAGACATTACTAAAAAATAGGTGTTTAAAAAAATTTCTAAAAGCTAAGTTCCTCAAATATTTTTGGGAGGAGACAAATTTACTTTGTCAGCATACTTTCCTACAAGATATGGATGAGGTGGGGGCATTTATGTAGGAAAGTTATTATGTCGAGCTATTATGTAGGCAAGTTATTAACTTCCCTATATGGCTGGTTATTCAAACAAGCAGCACTATTTGGAAGGCATTAAGAGATATCATTCCTATCTCGAATAAGTGACAACCCATTTGACTAACAGACATAACTATTTTTACAAGTTCCCCAGACAGTCATTGTGATAAGTGCTTTTTCTTCAGTAATGAGACTGGCCTGTATATTTTTTGGATTGCTGTAGGGGGATTACTAAGAACCAGCACACACTTACAGTTTAAAACTAACAAGCTCAGTCAGTTAAGCATCAACTTCGGCTCAGGTCTTGATCTCAGGGTTCGTGGGTTCGAGCCCCACATAGGGCTCTGTGCTGACAGCTCAGAGCTTGGAGCCTGCTTCGGATTCTGTGTCTCCCTCTCTCTCTGCCCCTCCCCCGCTTGTGCTCTGCCTCTCAAAAATAAATAAATGTAAAATAATCTAAAAAAAAAGTCAAGCATCAAAGAAAAATGGCCAGCGGAGCATCTGCGTCTCATCTGGGCTCTATGGTCAGTTCATCTATAATGATTCGAGGGTCACTGGGTCCCTCAGTGTCTTAGATTTTAGTTTTTCTTCCTCCCATTCTCTAGGTTATTCAGTTATAAAATTCTTTAAAAAGGGCAAGAGCAATGATTTCAGTGGGCCATACTTGAGAATTTAGGCTAAAAAATGGGCTGAGCCAGCTCTGGTATGAAATCACTAAAGTGACTTGCGATCACTCTTTCCTTTAACCTGGTTGACACCGATGAGCACGAGAAAACAGTACAGGTGTTTGGGCTTTGCAGAGGCTCAAGTTTGAGAAGCTGGCCCGGAGTGGGTGTTCCTCTCCTGTCCCCTGCTCCAGGGGACGTGGAACTCTCTGAGACAGAGCAACTGTGACGCTGCTTGAATGTCAATGTCTCCACACAACAATCTCTCCAGAAGATGCGTGGGAGACTATAGAATATGGTGGAAAGTTCTGAGCCATCATTCAAGGGTTCATTTTGTCATATGCGTGTCACGTGGCAGCTGACAGCGACACACTGGGGTGGTAGTCAAAATATGTGGCACCCAGGCCCAGTCAGGACCTGAATTCAGAACACTTGCTGAGTGTAGAGCGTAGAGTGTAGAGTGTAGACACTGGGCCAGAGTCCCGAAGACTCCCTCTACGCCTGTGAATGATCTCTTTTGTTACCTCACTGTTGGATGAGGGGGTGTGGCAAGGGGCAGCCAGGTGGTGAGTATGGGCGCTGAGGGCAGTATAGACATATTTCACTATTTTAACCACTAATACAGCTGGACCGTGTGAACTGGCCATGTGTTGGCCTTGGCTTTATGGAAACCTTTCGTGCCACCACACAGGAGTACCAGCCCACCCTCACCCTCTCTAAGGTGGCAAGCCTCAGATTATTTAATATACTCCTGGGCCTAACTCAAAAGGATAAAAATCTTTGTAAGGTGGAAAGATTGCGAGTGAAGTCACAAGACCTAATAGTAATTCAATTTTCAGAAATATGTTCTACATGTGCTTATAGATCATGCGACAAAGGCGCAGTTTCCGAGAAGTCACACATCTAAATGGAGATAAGAGTTGAGAAGTCAAGATGATATATTCTGACAATAGCACGTAAGTCGGCTCTTGGGGCTACGGTGTTTATTTGTGGTTTATTTGTATTTAAGAAGAACGAAGATAAAACAACTTATCAGGCCCACACCCCAGACAGTGACTTTCTGTGTGCTGGGCTGTGGCACCCTGTGAATGGCACTAGTTCCAGATCCAAGGATGGACGGTGTGTGTGATGCGGACTCATCGAAACTCTTCTCAGAGGCAGGGACCAGTGTTCATTTTTTTTGACAACTATGTGTCTCCAGGATTTGGTTCACCTTTCTAAAAAAATATCTTTATGATATTTTATTTTTGAGAGAGAGAGAGAGAGAGAGAGAGAGAGAATCTAAGCAGGCTCCATGCTCAGCATTGAGCTCAATGCAGGACTTGATCCCTTGACCCTGGGATCATGACCTGAGCCAAATTAAGAGTCAAATGTTCAACCGACTGAGCCCCTCAGGCTCCCCTTGTTACCTGTTATCTCCAACTTTGTATCACACACACACACACACACACGGGTGCACACATGCATTTGCACACACATGCACTCATGCACACATGCATACTACACACTAAAATATATCCAAACAGTGGAAATAACAATGAATAACCTAAAATTTTTCCTTGAAAGAGTCTAATTTGGGGTAGGACCTCACCTTGCCCAAAGACCTGAGTTTATGTTATCTTACGGAGCTAAAAATTGGTCATAGCTCGGCTCTTTAAATTCTTTGAATTGCCCCCTGTTGAAAGGGCAGAACAAAGCCTACTTTCAAAAAGTGACTTGGGTTTATTACGCTTCTAGCTATTCAAAGCGCATTTCCTGTTGAGGAGACACACTTGCAGGGCCCACGTGAGGGTTCCTGGTCGTGTGCACGTCAGAATGTATCTCAGGGGCGAGAGCTGAGACCAGGATGGCACCCACCCGCCGGCCGTCTCCCTCCTGCGCACCCCCAGCGGTGCCAGGGGCCACCGGATGTAACAGGGTCCAGGGCTCCTCTGGACAAAGACCGGTTCACACGGGCATCAGTACCTGCCCCTGATGGAGGTGGGGTGCGAGGTCCCTGCCTGGTGGTGACCGGGAGGCACCAGGGGCCGTGTTTGGGGAACCTTTCGGCTGCTCCTTCTTTCTACCAAGCAGAAGGCTGTCTCCATTTCAGGAGAGCGAAACAACAACCAGCTGAGTAAGTATGCAAAGCTGCAGGGCAGCGGTAGATTAAGGAGAATAGGAAGGAAACAATGCTGTTTGGCTTTCTCTCCAGATACGATAATAATGAGGAAAATAAATGATGGATTTCTGGAAGTAATTATATTTACAGTGATACTACGGGCACCCTCTGCACTCACTCTCTGCTGCATTCCATTTCTTGCGTCTATTTGGAAATCATTCCATTTGTTAGAATAAAATCATAATTGCGTTTTCAATTTGCTTCTGTGTCTGTTCTATTGCCAGAACAGCATACGCCAGAGTGCTTTGCCGGATGGACGCAGGGCCCAGATATGGGATCAACGGAGGGTTCCTTCACACCTGTTTCGTCAGTGGACTCCGGCAACACGCCCAGGGCAAGGTCAATGCAAATGTTGCCCGTTTCACCTTCCAAAGGGAGAAACGGAACCATCAGGCCTTTCAAACATGGCAAGTTTAGGTCTGGACCTAAAGCTCTCGGTTTTGGCATCTCTATCTCGAGGTTTCTAACTTTTCTTTGAAGGCCAGGGCAACTTCTCTTCATTAATGGAAGAGAAGATTTCAATCCTTTGATTGGCTGAGTCCCGTTCAAGGTGAGTAACCCTCGAAAACACCAAAGAGCTTGCTATTATGAATGGAGTTACCTGGGTCTTTGTAGATACTGAGCACACCCTTGAAGTAATGAGGTAAAAATCTTTCCAGTAAAAGCAGCACGTCTTCCAACTCTTCAAGAATCCCCACAAGCAGGAAGTTTTCATTCACGTTCAGTTTTGCTCTTTCAAGGGCCCACTCACCAGGCTCCCTTTGTGGATATAAAAATGATTTTCAATCAAAGATTCATTTTCAAAATGCAGGAACAACATACCAAGAATGTATCTCTTCAACCCACCCACCGCCATTTGCCTTTCCCACCTTCTCACACTACCATGTTTACCTGTGTGCGGGGCCTCACCCCCTGAGGCCCTGGGCAAAATATTTTTTGGAAGAAGAAAACAGATACAGGCAATCAGGTCCTATAAACACCAATCAAGGGGGCGATCAGAATGGCTTTTTAATAGAAGGAACAAACCAATAAAGCTACGAGATTTGAAATCTGAAACTTAATTGATAACAGCATGTCTATAGAAATCAAAATCGGTTTCAGGTCACGTCTGCTAATCATCTTATTCTTTTAAAGAGTTTAAAGACAAGTTTTTTGTTTTATTTTGTTTTCTGTTTTTTTTTTTTTTTTTTTTTTCTACAGAAGGAAAATGGCCTAATTTCATCTGCAGGGCAGATCTCTGAGCCAAGTGCATTTCTGTGAGTGGGGAAGGGAAGGAGTCATGGGAGCTGGGCTCCAGGCATGGCTGGCATTTCCCATCTGAGGGAATTTGGGCAAGCCAGATTCCGTTTTGAAAAACTGTAATAACTCTAACGCAGCTCAAATAATTGTCAAAGGGGAACAAGAGGACATTTTGAAAGACTTCTGAAAATCATCATGTGTGCACCAGGATAAGTTCTCTCCCCAAGATTAGGAAATATATAATTAAAAAAAATACTTGAGGGAGTTAGGATCATGTTTCTTGGAATAAATACCTTCCCTGTGACAGAAAGTGAGTCATGTGGCCCCGAATCTTCCAGTGACTGAAGCACTGACCATGAACCAGGAGGCACTCAAACAGGGGTGAGGAGTGGAGCAGGGAGGCCTCCTGAACTCAGGAAGTTTATGATAAAGCTGATGCTTCTAGTCCCCAAATTCAGACCTTAAAAAAAGTCCTGTGTTACAGGAAACTCAGCAAAGCAGCAGTAACAACACACACATAATAATTAAAATGAAGCAGCAATCACCGAGCAGGCCAGAAGTACAAAGGTCCTTCTGAAACAGTTTTTCTCTCGATCTTTTGAGGAACACACTGGCCTTCTAATCAGTGTTCCCTTTGCGGGGAAATGTCACTTCTGGGTAGCAGAGTTTATTTTCCATCACGTGAAGATAATATCCATTGTTACTATCTTTTTTTTTTTCTCCAGGCTATATGTTTGTCAAGTACAATGAATTTAAACTGTAGCGAGACCAGACTCACCAAAGGCATCTGTGTCCCACCCGAGGCCCTGTGATTAGGTGGGGATTCCTAGCCACTGCCCTAGAGACACTGATGCAGGAGGTGGGCAGACCACCCTCTGAGGGCCTGAGCACCTGAGTGAGTCACCTTCTAAAGAAGGTCTTGCATCCACGTATGGCTGAGGAGCTGAGTAGGAGAAAGCCCTTTCCTCTTTTCCTACTAGGTGTGTCTTCTGAGAGAGAGACTATCAGATTTTGGGGTGTGAGCACCCAGTGTTTTGGACCCAATTAGACAGGGCATGTAGGCAAGGACAGTTGCTGATGAAGCACAGACACTATGGGGGAGGAGTCGGGTGCTTGCCCCGGTCTTTACCATCTCATGGGCTGAGCAGGGACAGCTATGGGTTAAGAATAAAAAAAAAAGATCTGGTTGGCATTCCAGTCACATATTTTTATGGGACGGTCCCAAGGCCTCTGCCAGACCATGATTTGTTAATTTATTCCTGCAGAGGACACTCAAAGTTTCAAATGCAATCTTTAAAGATTAATAGTAGTCAGGGCACCTGGGTGGCTCAGTTAAGCATCCGACTTTGGCTCAGGTCATGATCTCATGGTTTGCAGGCTCGAGCCCTGTGTCAGGCTCTGTGCTGACAGCTAGTTCAGAGCCTGGAGCCTGCTTCAGAGTCTGTATCTCTCTCTCTGACCCTCCCCTGCTCACGCTGTCTCTCTCTCTCAGAAATAAATAAAACATTAAAAAAAAGATTAACAGTAAACATCCACTGAACTCCAGAAGGCTGAGAAGGTAGGCATACAAGAGATTCCCATGCAGTGCCCGCGGGTGGCTTTCCTGCCATGGTCTGTTTCGGTCTTTACCTGCATCTGGGATGCTGTCCACAAAAATATGGAATGATGTAAAATAATCTGGGGTTGGAACACTCGGGATAGTTTTCAAGAATACACTCATTGATATCCTAGAAGAGAAAACACAGAAGTGAGGGGCCTCGCGGTCTCTGCAGGGCTTTGTCAAATGCCATACAGGGTAAGTAAAGCTGAGACTTCAGGTTACGTGGGCAAGCCTTGAGGGGATATAGAGAATTCACGGGTCTCATGAGAAAACCATCTCGTCTCTGTGTCCCCAGTTCCACCAGCCAGGTGCGCGTGTGGTCTGAACGTTTCCAAGATTGCTTGTTCTATTGTGTGAATTTCACTTCTGCATTTCCCTGCAGCCCGCAATCTTTATCTACATGACAAGCGTCTTGACAGCACTATTACCCAGGGTGCCCACTACCTTCTGTAACCCAGAAGTTTCCAGCCAACTGGCATACAGTTGGCACTTAACAAATATTCGTTGAGAACGCAGTGTGGCTTAATTCTTAATTCATCCTGACTTAATCGGAGATCCCTGTACAGCCAACCCTATAGAAATGTGTTTCCCTGGGTATCTGCACATCCATCAAGTAATGATTAAGTACCTATAGTTGCCACACAAAAGATTTTGAGATTTGGAGAGGCTGTAAAATAATTTCTAACGTCATATTAGGTTAGAGAGTGACAGGATGTTTGTATATATTTTCTCACTTTCAAAGGCAACATCTGTGATTTCCAGATTTTCTATTTCTCTCCTGTTAGGTTGAACACCATGTTTCGCTGGTGGCTGAGCAGAAAAGGCTAAAAATCAACATTTATAAGGTAGATTCATCGGCTGCCCTAGAAAAGACGTGCCTGGTTCTTAAGTATTTCTAAGGAGAAACGATAATCCAATTTACAACTAAACCAAACAGCTGTGGGATGTTTTGCCAGAGAACACTGGCCAGGTAGATCGAGAACAGACGTAACTCGGAAACCCGGTCACATTGCTGATGAAATTGATGAGTCATTGCAAGTCACTGTACCTGACATGACTGGGGTAGGTGATCGGTTACTAAAAAATTTTTTAGTTCAAGTTGGGGATCAGAAAAATGTGCCATATACACTTTTTTAAACAACGCTTTCTTTCCCCCCAATACCTCTTTAGTGTATATACCAATTAAATAAATTGCACAATTACAGTAACAACTGGAATAAACAGATTCAGCAACAAACACTTGCACTAAGTACTGGAGTCTACTGTGGGTTGCAGGGTACACAGCTCTCAGAGAGGAATAAACTAGAAGCAAATGGAGTTCATCAATCCATCAAGCCATGTGGTTAAGTGAAGAGTGACGGAGAGCATTTTATTGTGTATGACAATCCAGTAAAAATGCATATTAGACCCAAAATACCTTTCTAGGAAGAATTTGATGCAGAGGGATATATAGAATTTCCTCAACTTATGATGCAATTACATCCTAACAAACGCTTTAGAAGCTGAAAATAAGTTAAGTTAAAAATGCATCGAGGGGCGCCTGGGTGGCTCAGTTGGTTAAACCTCTGACTTCAGCTCAGGTCATGATCTCACGGTTCATGAGTTTGAGCCTCGTGTCGGGCTCTGTGCTGACAGCTCGGAGCCTGAAGCCTGCTTCAGATTCTGTGTCTCCCTCTCTCTCTGCTCCTCCCCTGCTCATACTCTGTCTCTTTCTCTCTCAAAAATAAACATTTAAAAAATGCATTGAGGGGCGCCTGAGTGGCTTAGTCGGTTAAGCGTCCGACTTTCACTTAGGTCATGATCTCGCGGTTCGTGGGTTCGAGCCCCGCGTCGGGCTCTGTGCTGACTACCAGCTCAGAGCCTGGAGCCTGTTTCAGAGTCTGTGACTCCCTCTCTCTCTGACCCTCCCCTGCTCATGCTGTCTCTCTCTCTCCTAGAAATAAATAAAACATTAAAAATAAAAAAAAATGCATTGAATACATCTAACCTGCCGAACATCACAGGTTAGTCTAGCCTCACCTACCTTAAACGTGCTCAGAACACTGACTTTAGCCTGGGCAAAATCATCTCACACAAAGCTTATTTTATAACAAGGTGTTGACGATCTCATGTAACTTACTGACTACTGTACTGAAAGTGAAAAGCAGAATGGCTGTATGGGTGCAGAACGGTTGGAGGTGAACAGGTCGTGGGCTCTCCTGATCGCGTGGCTGACGGCGGGGGGGGGGGGTGGCGGCTCCCCACCACTGCCCAGCATCCCGAGAGAGGCTCATCCTGCCTATTGCTGGCCCAGGAAAAGATCCGGATTCAAAATTCCAAGTACAGTGTTTACTGAATTCAGATCACTTTTACACCATCCTACGGTTGAAAAAACTGTAAGATGAACAATCTTAAGTTGAGGACTGTCTATGGAGGGCTATTTATCGCTACAAGATTATTACAACAAAATACAGCAGAATTTGAATGTCCGTTAATGGGGGATTGATTCGCTGAGAAGTTACGGTGCATTCCTAGAATGAAATCCCGGACAGCTGGCAAGGAGAAGGGAGGTCTACATGTACTGTCCTAAAAAGTTTCCATGATGAATTTTCACATGACAAAAGCCACCTGCAGGACAATATGAAGATAAACACGTATGTTTACATAAACACAAACATATCTAGAAGAATAAATACCAAACTGTTAAAAGTGGTTCTTTCTGGCAATAGACGTAAAAGATGGGAATACGGAGAACTTTAAGTTTATCCATTTCTAAAATGTTATTTTCCACATACATGTTGTTGTATATAAAATAAGTAAAATGTTATTTTACATAAATGATACTTTTATTGTAATACGTATTTAACTTCTATTATCAAGAAAGGAGATTTGCACGTTGTAAAACAAATCAAAGCTTAGGGGAGGATAAGTGGGCTTTGCCCTAAGGATACTCTGACCTCCTTTCCTCCCTCACAGTCTGGGGGAACCTCTGGGAGGTGGCATCCCCCAGGGACCTGAGCCTTAGGTACCTGGGCTGCTGTCTGAGGGAGGGAGCCAGGAGCAGGGTTGGGGGCAGAGCACAGGAGCCCCCTGGCCAGGGCAGGGATGATCAGAGGCAGACGATCTATCTGCTGAGGTGGAGACCTCACACCAAAGGGCCGAGTGAATTGGTGGTGGTTTAGTGGGTGTCGAGAGATGTGTCCCATACACCGTCACTGCCCCCCACACCTCTCCCACCCCTGCCCCAGAGACCTGTCCCAATAGGAGGGGTGGGCGACAGAGGCTGCCAAAGCTGCCCGGAGAGTCCACAGCATCTATGCTTCTCCAGAGCTCACTCTACGGTTTCCTTTGACTAAGAGCTGTGTCGTTATTTGTTTAGGTGCTAAGTCCATGAGAGCACACACTGGCCGCTCGCTGTGTCTCCTGCACTTAGCACCCTGCCTGGGAAAAGCAGGGGTGCGATAAATACTCGGCGCACAAATGGACAAATGGCAGAAGGAAAAAGCCACGACACACGGCTGTGATTCTGTCCCTGGTGATCCTGGCCTGGAGCTTAACAGGAGCAGGCTAAGGACATCAGCATGGGCTGTCGGGGGGGCGGGGGGGGGGGGGGGGGGGGGTCAGGGGCCTGTGAAGGTCATTTCCCTATTGGAATCCACAAATAACTCTACAAGGTCAATTTATGGGAAGACATAAATTCCTAGCTTAAGAAGTGCCGTTAGCAATTTTTCTTTTCTTAGATCAAGGCGTGTCCCAGGGGGATTTTAGAGTTCCATTTGAGCCCCATTAGAGGTTGATGAATGGTGTTGACCACAACCATCCTATGGAAATGCTATGGGAGGACATAAATAAAAGATGACTCAGGTTTAAGGTCAAAAGGAAGCAGAAAATGAGCTGTGAAGACCTACACATTTAGCTGCCTGCAGCTTAGCCACAGTGACGAGGGACACTTCTCAGCAGCTCAAGGACGAGGGGGCCTCAGGAAACCGCTCCTGGCCATTCACAGAGTCCACTCTTCCCAGACCTGAGGACCGCAGTGAGTGGCCTTTAGTGTCCAGGGAAACTGAAGGGGACAAATGTCAACACAGCTGCTCCTACAGTTTCCGGTTCCGACAGGTGTGACTGATTGGCCAGGATCACTGGGTTTCTCCCCGTGTTAATGGTTTTATCGTTGGCATTCAGGCTTCTTCTACCCTGTATTGTTTTACAGTCACTTTTTCATTTTTATATTATTATTTATTTTTATTTTTTTTACAGTCACCTTTTTATAAGGAGTTTTCTTTTTTTTTTTTAATGTTTTATTTATTTCTAGGAGAGAGAGAGAGAGAGAGAGACAGCGCGAGCAGGGGAGGGTCAGAGAGAGAGGGAGTCACAGACTCCGAAATAGGCTCCAGGCTCTGAGCTGGCAGTCAGCACAGAGCCCGACGCGGGGCTCAAACCCACAAACCATGAGATCATGACCTAAGCGAAAGTCGGACGCTTAACCGACTAAGCCACCCAGGCGCCCCAGGAGTTTTCTTAGTACGTGTGTGTGTGTGTGTGTGTGTGTGTGTATATATATATTTTAGGATAAGCTTGCCTTATATAGCTATATATATATATTTCTTTTCAGGATAAGGTTGCTTTAAACAGCTTTAATCTTTATTAAAGCTTAACAGCTTTGCTCTAGGATGGTCATCACGGTGATGAGGTTTGCCAAGCCAGCCAGCACTTGCTCTGATTTGCACATCTGGTGCCTGGACGTTGGCGGAGACCACAGGCTCCCACAGCGCTCTCCTCTGCTCACGTGAAGCCCTCTTTTAAGACTGGGTCTGAACACAAGCCCCTATTCTGCTCATATTCTCTCATCATTAGGGAAATGAGACATTACAGATGATCATTCCAGATAACTGAGAGAATCCTTTTTGTTGCCAAAACTGCCCAAATAATTAGACCAATTTTGGTCAAATCTATTCTAAACTGTACTATTTGAAAAATCGTATGCTTACACCATCTAGGGATTTGTGTGGGGGGTGGGGTGGGCGGGGGGGCTCATCTTCTAGTTTGATGTTACAGAGAAATCATCTTTTATTGATTTTCTCCTGTAACGTTTCACAGGATGGACTGTTGATGAACGGCACTCGCCTTCTGAGTGCCAAAGGGGCCCTC